TATCTTGCCCACAGCCTAGCCAATAATTCCAAGAAGTGAATCGACACAAATGATACAACAGAGCGAACGTGCCCCATACAAAATTCATATCTTGAATTAGCTGCCAGAGGCAACCACAACAAATCCTGTTTCTCAATTCTATGATGTGCATCCATAGGGAGCTTAGTATTGTGAATTTTTTTAATTTCCTATTGACAGTCTCAAACACTGACAGAAAAACATAAAACCGGTATGAAGAACCAGGGTGCACAGTTTCTTTTGTTATTATATCGTACTGGTACGGTACTGTACCGGTACACAAACGCTGCAGTGATACCATATCCAACAATCCACCCGAATAAGCACGTGACACGCAATCAAGGTCCTAGGAAGGGTTTAGGGTTAGGGTTCACATTTCAGGGTCTCCAAGATGAAAGTGAAGGTTGCTGCCAAGAAATTATTTACCATGCACAAGAATGTCAAGGACCTAAACCTCACGACAATTTGGTCCGATACGATTGCCAGACACAATCGCGGAGCCCTATCTTATAACCTCCGGCGGGTCGTGAAGCTGCGAGGGTTTCCCCGAGCTTGGCAAAAAAAATAAAAAATAGAATCATAACTTGGGTATATAACTGCCGCCGCTCCCTTTCCTTCAATTTTCCTCCACCAACAGTATCACAACACAACAGCCTCCCAAAAACGAGATGGCCACTGGTTTGTGTTACGACCGTCGCATGACTAGCCATCGCATACTCGAGGGGGAACACCCCGAAGATCCCAGGAGAATCTCTGTTATATACGAAAAGATTGTCAAATGCGGGCTTGTCAACGATCCAGAACTCTCTGGAACAAGCAACCCCGAGGATCCCGGATTGATGGTTAGAATTGAGGCTAGGGAGGCAACCGAACATGAAATCGGCCTAATCCATAGCCGCGATCAGTTTGAATTTGTTCAAGAGCTTGAAGGTGAGATCAACGATCAGCTGTTTGCTTATGACATGCTAATACTGTCCTTTTACGATAGATCGCGACGATGAAGAACTGATCCTGATGACTCATGAGGCTGATTCTGTTTACTTTAACCGGCATACTTTTATGTGTTCTAAGCTTTCTTGTGGCGGGGCAATTGAAACATGCCTTCGGGTTGCCCAAGGCCACGTAAAAAATGCAGTCGCAGTGGTTAGGCCACCTGGTCACCACGCGACTCCTGACCGCTCGATGGGTTTCTGCATCTTTAACAATGTCTGTGTGTCCGCCAAGGCTCTGCAGGAGAAGGTGCCTGATATCAAGAAGATTTTAATTCTCGATTGGTAACTATGCTGAAATTTATCTGAAATTTGGAAGGAGGAGGAAGCTATCGGAATACTAACAAGTTCTCTTGATCCACTCTTTTTAGGGACATTCATCACGGCAAGTGAAACAAGATAAGGTTTTATTATGAGATTACGATAACTAACTATTACACGTTTTTCCAGGAAATGGCACTCAGGATGCATTTTACAATGATCCATCTGTATTGTATATTTCCCTCCACAGGTTCGAGAAGGCAACCTTCTATCCGAACGACCCCAAAGGAGATTCCAAATTCTGCGGCTCAGGCCAAGGCACCGGATTGTAAGCCCTTCTTTCTCTTTTATTCCTATTACTCTCGGACAGGCTAACCGTTTCAGCAATGTAAACATCCCTTGGACTGAAGGCGGTAAGCTGGACGGCGATTACATATATGCCTTCCAAAAGCTTGTAATGCCGATAGCCCTGGAATATAACCCAGACTTCGTTATTGGTAAGCGCTCTAGTATTTCTGCAGGTTTCCTCTAGCTACCGTTGAGCCAGAATCTGATAGTTAAAATTCTGATTTGAACAGTCTCAGCTGGATTTGACGCGGCTGCCGGAGACGAGCTCGGCGAATGCTATATTACACCCGCCGGCTTTGCCCATATGACCTACATGTTAATGAGCCTAGCAAAAGGCAAAATGGCACTTTGTTTAGAGGCAAGGCACCAATTCGGTTTAGTTGAATAGGTTCTTATACAGCTTGTAGGGAGGATATAATCTATCCTCAATCTCGGATTCCGCGCTTGCGGTCGTAAAGGTATTGATGGGCCAAGCGCCCGAGAAGATACTGGATCCAGTAGCGTCCCCTGCGGCCGCAAAGGTAGTTCAGGAGTGTATTGCTATCCAAATGAGGTATTGGCGCTGTTTGTATTCAGCTGGCTCACTAAGTCCAACCCCCTTTGATGACTATTGTTAAAACTTTACTGATTGAATTGATTAGGGCCTTCCGAGAGAGGTAATGGACTTTCTTTAGATGGTTAGAATATACCCATCTAACTGGGGTCGCTCCTTTGCTAATAACTTTTAGTTGTAGTACGAGCGTGGCAAGAGAAAATCTTGTGGGACAAGTATAAGATGTCGTCAGCACCGGTCATGCATCCGTCGGGTCTTGTATTTGATAACGCGCTCCTCATGTCGTAAGTTCTCCTGCCTCCCAAGCCTCCCAAGCTGCAGCGGTTCGCTTTGAAAGGGAGTTATCTGGTTAGCAAAATTGGTCGAGATTGCTATTGTGGAATTCAATAGCATGGTTTCCAGCTCGTTATAGGGCCCAGAATTGATGCTAATATAATTCAGGGAAAATTGTTCTACCGCCAAAGTTATTGTGATGCTTGTACATGAACCGTAAGTATCCCGTAACCAGGGGGTATAAAGCTTAGGATAGTGCTAATTAATTCTGGAGGTTAAGGCCGAAGATACATGCTACCGTTGATACTACAGACTCGAAGGAGCTCGATTTAGACGATCTCGAATTGGTAGTCTCCATCCATCTATCTCCCCTTGGTTGTTGACATGTCTGTCAGTCCGTTAACCTGTTATTCCCGCCATATTGAAGATTGATCCTGTCTACTTTTATATTCGTTGGGCCTTTGAGCAGCAATTCGGGATAGTAGATGTTAGTCTTCCACTGCGTCAGCGGTCTCAGGCAGTAAGTTTCCCGATGGTTGTGCCGGATGAGAATGAAGATACTAAAAATTATACTTTTCCCTTTAGCACAGCGCAACAAATACGCTACGAGGACAACCAGAGTCCCTTTGTGAATACCTTTGGGACAACTATATTGAGTACTCCATCCCTCTATTCCCCCCCCCCCCTTTGTATCCCCTGCCGAATAGAGTATAAAGTTTTCATATTTTTAACTTTAAAAAATATTTCCGCGTACAGGCTCCAGAACGCGGAGAATGTTTTGTTAATCGGCGTCGAAGAAGGAGTTTCGGGCCTTCTCCATATGCTAACTGCTAGAAGTAAGAGAGTCATACCCTCCCGCGGTAATCCACGATTAACGTACCGTAAAATCTAGAATGCGAGAAAAAGGTCAAGGCTTGTGTAGGCTTTATATGCGCCGCAAACATGCAGTCAATACTGTATGGTGGGATTAAAGATCAAGGACTCACAGAGTGGTACTTCAATGCACGTATTTTCTTGTCAACTGTCTGCCTTAACAGCTACCATTTCAAGCTAATCTTTTTCTCTCAAAAGACCTCGCTACTATTTGTTGGATCCAATCATCTCTACTGGGAGAGTAACAAATCTCGTCGCAAGAAGTATGGTAATTGCAAACTTGCTGATGGGGACGTCATTTCCACGGTCATGTTGAATTCCCAAGAGGAAGCAGCTAGCTTTATGTTGAGCAAAATAACTGTTAAGGCGACTAAGGACGACGGCTGCGACGACGATGACAAAAACCGTGATAATAGAAATGGCGAAGGTGAGAAGGGGGTGGTCACCGAAGCACTGATTGTGGCTTAAACGGTCACTATATTGATATCCTTTCTCCCATAAAAACAAAACCATTTGCTGGATCATTTTTTTCCCTCTGTTTTAATCTATCGGGCTGGAGTTGGCAGTTTATCTTTCCTTGGGGCATACATGGATGGTTGGCGTTCTTAAATAAATAAATAAACCTCTTTTTTTCTTTTTCTTTTTCCCCCTTTTCTCTCTCTCTCTCTCTGATCTGTCATACTCCTGTATCCCATATTCCGGTGTTATTCCGCAGTCTGAATTCCAGGATCCCGAATTTGCGAGTGACATGATATGACATGAGAAGTGTAGATTAGCGAGCCCGCCTGAATCATGTACCAATCCGTAATGATATATTGCCTATACCGGGCATCAATCCCGGCAAGCACATGCAAGAGCACATCAGCATACGTATGGCAGCGGGAGTAGGAGGGGAGGGCAAGGGAGAGGCCAAGTACCGTAGTAAGGTATCATACAATAACACCTCGCACACCCAATAGGAACCCAAATCCAATACCACAGCTCAACATATACCTCCCCCAAAACAGTAAACACCATAACTGTACTACTGCAGTACCCGTGACCCCCGTCCCGCCCTGCCACGCCAGGCACCCAGAACCCACACAACCTACCCTTCTATTCCGAAACCCGTTCCCAACCCCCCCCCCCCCCCCTCCCCCCAACCATCTAGTAGTCCCGCTACCGCTACTGCTGCTGGCAAGTGTTGTTATGAAAGAAAACGGCCAGTCATGCTGACCAGACCAGACCGGGTTTTCCAAAATTTTGTAATGGAATGTATATAATGTCCGTCCGTCTATGCGTCTCGAGTTTAGATTTCTCAATTGTCGGGGGTTATAGGTATTATAGATATGATATGGCCCTTCTAGGGAACATCTCATTTCTTTGTTTCTTTGTTTCGTTGGTTGGTTGGTTATGCCTCTTTGTTATGAGAGTGATTAGTTGGTTGGTTTGCGGGGGTTTGTTTGTTTGTCTGCTTGTTTGTTTAACTTGAGGCGCGGGTATCATAAGTGTAGGGCAGGGCAGGGCAAAGACAAAGACAAAGACAAAGACAAAGACTCTACGAGTACGAGCACAAATATGGTGGATTGCGGACGGTGTTTCTGTGGGTGGGTTTTGTGGGTTTCTTTCCTCTGCTTCACCTGCATGGATGGCCGGATGTGTATGATATATGCCTTTGTCTGGCCCTGGGGGTACAGTTAGTTTCTTCGGGGGTGTGGGGTGGTAGATCTTAGCGTACCATACTGACCCTAGACGACCGCCCGTAAGTGTTTGATATTGGTGATGGGTTCGGTAAAACCTGCGCTGGCTGGCTAACGTTGCGCATCTGTTTCTCGCCACGATTGTTGGAGTTCTTGTGGTGAGGTATGGGAGAGTGAATCGTGTATAATCGCGTCATAATGGAGGTGATATTTTGTGCATCTATCATACACTGCGAGCTAAACTGAAATGAAAAAAAAAAAAAACTTGCGCTCACACTATCTTGTGCCCTATACCGGCATATATGTACTGTACAGTTAAATACGGCACCTAAAAGAACTTAACCCCCATCTCCTCGTTCGCGCCAAACACCTGTGCGAGGCCACGCTTGACGAGGAAGTCGAGGGCTTTGCGGAGGATGTATGGGTCTATTGTGTGGAATTCTGTGCGTGCGGAATTGTTAGTGCGCGTAGGGAGTGAGCGAGCAAATGGGAAAAAAAGGGGGGGGAGGAGTAGGTGCCTTGATTCCTAGTGAGATCCCCTTCAGATATCTCGTAAAGTGTGAGTACGCTTCCTTTTTGTCCAGTGTTATCGATCTACCCATCCCCTGTTAGCACCTTCCCATCCCCGCCAAAGGCGCGCGGGCACCATTACCCATTCATAGATAACGTTAGCCCACTCCTCCAACTTCTTCCAATACACTATCGCCGTAGCTTTCCCCACACCTTCCCACTCCACATCGCCTTCCGCCACCATGTACTCCAGGAGCTCCGCTGCGTCGCGCTGCTTGAACCTGCCTATGGACCCCTTTAGCACACATTTCCTCCATCAAAGGGGGAGGCGGGAAGGAGGACCTACGGTTGAGGTTTCTGTTATAAAACAGCTCGGTCTCGAGTGCATCGCTGAGTTGTAATTTCCAAATCCTATGCGCACGGCAGTAGGACAGGACCCAGGCAGCCCAGATTGAGCGTTGGTGCGCCCATGTGGTGTCGTTGGGCTGTGTATCCTGTCTGCGTTAGTCGTGGTGCAATCCGCTCGGTGGGAAGGGGGGGGGAATGATATCTTGTGAAGAAGGCGGGGAACTCGTAGAGTTCCGGGTACTCGAGGTTTGGGGGTTTGGGTTTTGTGGACATTGTGGTTGTGGTCAGAACTCTTGGGCAGAGCTATCGAGTTTTGGGGATGGGTGTGTGCCGTCGAGTGGCTGTTCTCTGGTGGGGTGCAGTGGGGGCTTGATCCGGGGCCAAGCTTTGCGGCTCTGGACCTTGCAGATGACGCTTTTCTCTCATTCCACCCTGTTGTCTGATCCTCGGTATTTCAGCTGGGGTGTTTCCCTTTCTTTTTTTTGTCCGCGACACGGTAACCTATTTCTCTTAAAATTCCTTCTTTCCCGGATGTCTACTTCCTCCCATCCACAGTGATCATGTCGGAAACGCAGGAAATAGTTGCTGACCGAGGGGGTGGGTCAGGGAGGAAACCGCAGACCAACCTTGTGCAGGGAACCTCAGCGGCGGGAGCTAGAGCTTTGGGAGCGCAGCTTATCGCGTTCTACTTTCGGGCCCCGGTGAAAGCCTTCTTTAGACTGCGGGTGGATTATATGGTATCTCCGCACTTCTTGCGAATGTTGGGCGACGGAACGGCTGATGAGGATAGCACGTTCCAAGGGCTATAAATCCAAGAGTTCAAGCGAATGAAAGATGGTCGTTAAAACAGTCCACTCCCGGGCTTCTTTTTCATGCGGTAAAGCACCATGGGTGGAAGTTCATCCCTAATCAAGGTATTACTATGCAAATCCTACCTCCGCTACGCATATCCTCGCTCACGAGGAACATAGTTCTCCCGCCGCTAGTAGCAAATGCAAGCATTGGCACGATCCTCTATACTTCGTACCTACAAGTCCTTGGAAGCCTTCATCAACCCTCCTCACAACCTACAAGACGAGTCTACCCACCACCCCCATTTAGTGCGGCTTTCCAAGCCGGCTCCGCAGCTGGAGCCATCCAATCCCTCGTCGCAGCGCCCCTCGACGCCCTAGTAGTCCGCTTCCGGGTAAACGACATGCTGGAAGGGAAGTACACATCTATGTGGCAGTACGGAAAGCACAAACTCCATGAGATCGGCCTCCGAGGGGTTTTCTCGGGTTACACGCTCTCTTTCCTGAAAGAATCCCTCGGCTACGGCCTCTTCTTCGGATCGTTTGAGTATGTCAAACAACAAGCTTACTTCTCATATTTGACATGGTACTACGGCCGAAGGAGGCGAAAAAACCACGCAGAGCATGTCACCATCCGTCCGCATTACGCCCTCGAACCGGCCTTCCTGCTCTTAGCCGGATTCTCGGCGTCGTTTACCCAACAGGTAGTTCAGCACCCGTTAGCCAAGATCCAGGATGTGCATTATGGAAGATTGGAATCCCTTGATTATGCGTCGAAGATGCAGCATACCTCGGCTCTGAGGGGGTACGCGCACGGCTACGAGAAGACGTTCGCGCAGTGTAAAAAGCAGGCGGCAAGGGTTGGCGGATGGAGTAAGTGGTTGTATAAAGGATTTGCGCTCAACACGCTGAGGCAGGTGCCCAGCACAGCTGCAGGATTGATCGTGTTTGAGCTGGTGAGGAGGAGGTTTGGGGATGCGGCGGAGGCGGTTGCTATTGAGTATGAGAATTCCACGATTCTGTTGTCGTAGGCAGAGGGAGTCAGCATGGTTACTCAAACGTCTGTTGGGAGGGCGGAGAGATGGTTGTTTACGCGGAAAGTGCCCTAGAGGCATTTTGTGGACGATGTTTGGTGGGGACGTTTACGTATTATGGGGCACCCATGCTGGATTTACTCACTCTGCTCTTGCTTGAGGGGTTTTAGATTGATTGTGATAGACTTTTAGATGGCTTCCCCCGTTTTTCGTTCCCTCTCTTCTTTCCTGGATGAGTTGGGGTCGGTAGAGTTAAGGGAAAATAGATGTATTATAACGCACAGCGGGGATATCTGTACGATATATTGCGGCGCAAATATGGAGAAATAATGGGCTTGTTCAGATTATTCATCTAGCGAGTGACTCAGGACCCTTGACCGGTGGAAGGACAACCTGAGCAAGCGTGTTCTGAGGTCCTCCGGGCCATCCAAAACGCCGAAACCGCTACACGATCAGTCCAGGCGAGTTCGTCACTCCCGTGATCTGTACATTAGCAAAACGGATACCTAGATGGACACCCCCCCGACCCGTCATCATCATCCATTCTCACTCGCGGATTCTTACATTTAAAACAGCCAAACTCTGGCTAGCTTCGAAAGGGAGAAATGCACAAGCGATGATTGACGCTTTCTTGGTCGGATCGAAAATACCAACTACTGTGATTCGGATAGCCAATCCGTGGTATATAATACTGTATCATACTGTACCACTTGAAGCCACTTTACATCTCCGTGAGCGATCGTCTGACCAAAAAAGCGGGAGGACCAAACAGGATTGAAGGGACAGGGCAAATAGCCAAAGGGGGAGGGAGGGAGTTTGTAGAAGGGTGGGATCTCCCTATCGGTTTAATTCCAGCGGGATGCTTTAGGCTATCCCCCCCCCCCGGGATCATTTAGCTACACAGTGCTCGAGAATGTGCCGAGTTACTGTGCCGTACTCGAGTACTGTACTGTACAGTACCTGCTCACGCAGAACCTCACTAGTATCTCACAGTACTGTATCTCCTCTGCCCTCTGGTCATTTCTCGGAAGTTCTTTCTTGTCACGATTCTCTACGGATATTCCTTTCTCAATTTTGGGTGTTGTACCGTTGCTGGTATACGTTCCTACTTGGCCCTCTTATGTATAGTACGGTACCATATGATACGGTACAGCAGAGCGGTTTCTTGTATTGCTCGTTGGAGGCTTCCGCAGTATCATAATTTATCCTGTGATTGTGGCGGGTTGAGATGGAAACATATATATTCGTGTGGTATGATACCGGACCGTATCCACTATAAACCCTAACCCTTATCTTACAAGGTGTTATTTGAGAAGTAGTTATCCACCCTACCGGTATCGTATCATATCATACCAATGGCTCACGTATATGACTTGCTGCTACGGGTACAATGTCTAAGCCCGCACTCAGACCGGTATGATACGATATAATATCAGACTCCCGGCCATGTACTGCACAACACCGGTAGTGGGTAAATTACACATTATTCTTCCGCTCGCGGGTTGGGGCTCCGGGACTTGAATCACCGGCGATCCGACGCCATCTCCGCTTTTCGCCTTATCGAGAAAGCGATGGACTAAATATTGCCTAGTCCCTACCGATAAGAGGGAAACGTGATGCCCGCTGGATCACTACGGTAATGGTGCTAACGGCGGATGACTGAGCAGCACAAATTAGCAAATTACTCTCGCCCAGATTTGGCCATTAAAAATGCCCTCGCCTCCTCGCCAATCTCCCCTCGCCTCTCCTTCTTGCCTTTCCTCCGTCACCCTTGAGAGGTCGGCCAACCCATGATAGGGTGGATACCCCCCTCTACAACACCCCACAGTCGATCTTCCCACATTGGCTTCTGATGGAAGTTCGTTAAAAAAAAGAAAAAAGAAAAGAGAAAAGAAAAGAGGACACTGTGAGCCCGTTTAAAAATGTCGAACTCCCAAGGTTCGGGTCCCTTCGTCGCCGCCAAATCCACTACAAGCTCTCCCGTTTCTGCACCACCTGCGCAAGCGCCCGCAACAGCATCGTCTGGGAACGATCCGCAGAGACGCAGCGGGGGAGGGGGCACCGCCTTCGGATCTAATCTTTCTTCGAGGAACAATTTGGCCTCTCCGAGGAGTGGCCAAGCGGGACGCTCGAACCACCGCAATCGACGCAAACCGGGTGCCACAGCTTCCGAAGAAACTGTTGCCGAGAGTCAGGTATACCGCCACTACTCAACTCCCCCCACCTCCTTCCCCACACTCTAAACCCCTTCTCCCTCGTTCGTTCCGCCCCACCGCACGGTTATAGTGAATAGTTAGGACTGACATGGTGTTACATCGCGGGTTCAGCTCACGATGGGGACACGCAATAGACGTAAGGGTACTTCGATCACCCACCTTATGCGCTGGAATGTTTCAACCGCCGCCTCTCGAAGTTCAGACAGTTACCACTGGCATGACAACCGCCGTTATCCGACTTTCGGGATGGGCTCGGGTTACCACCAGGTGGACAAGGCTCGGTAAGATTGTTTTAGTCAGATTGCTTCCGTTGATCCGCGATAGGCTGACGAGCTGGAAAAGCTATGTAAACGCCAATTATCGTTTTATTGTCCACCCCGGCGGAGATTTCCGCGCGCAGGTAATAAATCCCGACGATCCCTTGCCATGGAATCTCGTGCTCCAGGTCCTGGCATCGGCAAAAACACAGCAGCCCACCTGTCCCATCTGTTTATCTGCTCCAGTCGCTCCGCGAATGTCAAAATGCGGACATATATTCTGCCTCCCATGTCTTATTCGGTATATGGCCTCCGTTGACGACGTCAAATGTCCACCGGAGAGACGACCAAAGTACAAGAAATGTGTGATCTGTATGGATAGCGTTTATCTAGTGGAATCCCGGCCAGTCAGATTCTTCGCCGGGCAGGAAAATACGGCTCCTCGAGAAGGGGAAGATATCGTCCTACGTCTTGTAATGAAACGCATGGGCAGTATCCTCGCGTTGCCAAAGGACGGAGCCCACTGCCCTACGCGAGTGGAGGAGATTCCATGGCATTTTGCTGCCGAGGTGATGGACTACGCCCGGATCATGAAAGGGACTGAGGCCTATATGATCGACCAATATGCAAGAGAGGTGGAGGATCTTAAGATCATGCAACAGGAGGACGAAGCCATGTTTGGGGAAGATGGGGAATGGGCAAAGAAGGCTGTGACATCAATTGAGCTCCAAATTGAGGCGATTAAAGGAATGGGAAACCCGAGGGGCTATCCCTCTGATACCTCTGCTGACATCCCGGAAGCGGAAGTGGAGAGCGAGAGAAAGAAGGAAAAGAGGCCCGAAATCAAGTTCAATGAGAGCGAAGAGGATGTTCCCCTTATGTACCACGTATCTCATGAGGCTCGTTCCGGCCATTCATCGACCTCCATTTCGAGATCGCAAACGCCTTCCCAGAACAAGCCCGAAGTAGCAGTGTCAGTACCTGCATCCGAATCAGCACCAACCGCCAAACTGCATCCCCAAGATGGCGAACTTTCCGCTTCCCAGGTAGACGCAAGGGACGTAATACGGCGTGGGAATGGGGGCTCCGCCAGGGGCGATGCTCCGTATTATTTCTACCAAGCTCTTCCCCACTACTATCTGTCCACCCTTGATATCAAAATACTAAGAGCGGCTTTTGGATCCTATTCCGACCTTCCCTCGACTATACTACCTAGGGTAGAAAACGTAATAACAGGTTGCTCAGTCGATGACGATTTCCGAAAACGTGCAAGGTATCTAGCACATCTCCCCTATGGCTGTGAAATTGCCTTCCTAGAATGCGACTGGACAGATATTGTTCCCGCGGGGGTTCTGGAAGCCTTTAGCGCTGAGATTGACCAGCGGAGGAAACGCAAGCTGGAGAAAGACTCCCGGGAAGAGCGTGCTCGGATCAAGGCGGAGAGCCGACACGAAGAAAATCATTGGGCTCTGGCTAAGCATAGGAGGGAGTCATTGGTCGATGATTACGAGCAGGGTTTACCCGCGGCGGTGGCGACTCAGAGTATTGATGAGGCTGGACCTGAGGGTGGTGAATCGAGCCCCGCCATGGCAGCTACCTCTCCACCTGTTGGCAATGATATCCCCAACGGAGAGGAACCTTCGGTTGCTGGTCCAGTATCACCCTCAACTAGCTCGGCCCGGGGGCGGACTGTTTGGGGAACACCTCTTGTACACGTCCCAAGTGAAACCGGACCCGCCACTTCTATGCCTGCATCCGATAACAACAACGGTTGGCTACCGGACTGGGAGCGGGACCTCATACTTCGAGAACAGGTGCTAGTGGAATTAGAGTCCGCAGGGAGTGTTGGTGGCGGTAGCGGACGGGCGCCTGGCCAGGGGAAGGGAGCCCAAGGTGGGAAAAAGAAGAAGTTCAAGAAAGTCACACTGATGACCAATGGGGGGAAACGCGGAGCTTGATATGCGCATTTATCAAACCAGCTATCTGGCTGCTATCCCGAACACTGTTCCTTGTCATTGTGGGCTGTGCATTGCGTTCGCTCATCTGCTTTTCTTCCCTTTAACTGTTTAAATCTCTTCCTGCTTCTCTCCAAAAATTCACTTTTCCTTGGTACGAAGAAGTGCCTAGAATCATAAAGCATAGCGTAGATACATAGCATTGGCTACTTTTTGCAGATGGGGATTTTTCGGCCCCTTACCCCGATCCTGCCCAGGCTGTGATTTTCTGTTTTTTTCTTTTCTTTTCCTCCTTGTTGCTTCTAGTTCTTAGTTTTTGGGGAGGGAGTTTTTTGGAGTTTTTAGGCTATATATATTCTCAAGAAGCTGCAAATTCCGATATATGATATCTTCTAGTTATGGGGCGAGTTCCTGTTCGTGATATTGACTATTTATAGGCTGCTGCCCCGGAGCTGGTGTTCACATTCTAGAGCCCTAACCCTTACAGTTCGGCAGTGCTGAACTGTGCTAATATACACGGGTTTTCTCTTTCCTTTATGTGCTCGTAGCTTGAGTACAATGCGTTAAATGTTTCAGATAATTCAAAGTGTTTTGGTGGGCAATAAAGATGCTATCCCAATTGGTATTGTATGATCCCAAAATTCAGAGTTAGACGAGTTAGCCCCCAAGTCCAAAATCGGCGCGGAGTTGCTCGTGCTGTCCTCTCCGCTATCACAGCACCGCTACCTTCCACCAACACCCCGCAATGACCACGACAACAAACAACCACAGCCACAAACACCACGATCGAAATCCCTACGACTCCGACAACGATTCGAACAATGATGAAGATGACCTCTCACCACCTTCCCCGGACGTCAATTCCTGCACAACCGTTGAAGAGCTTTGTGCGGCCCTCACCCATCTAACGGCCCAGGATGCTCGCATAGACGGCAAGCTCCGCACGTTGCTCTTGAAGCAATCCGAGCTGGAGCACTCCCTCACCCGCCTGGACCTGCTGCGAGCACATCTAGGCACACAAGTCGTGGCGGCCCGTACGTTATCAAACACAATGCTCTCACCCGCTGCGGCTACCGCGCATCGTATATCCTCCGCCGTGAGGCGCCTGGATATCGAGCAATCCCGCGTTAAAGCAACGCTGGAGGTTGTCGAGCAAGTTACCGAGCTGAAAGCTTGTGTTCTTGGGGTCACTGGGTCGATGGGTGCGCCGCAGGATTGGGAAACCGCAGCGAGCTTCTTACATCGTGCCGGGAAGATTCCACAGGAGATCATTCGTGGAGAGTTCGCGGAGGAGATAGTTCCCACTGCTGAAGTTCCGGATCTCCCTTCTGTTACATTGGAGAATGCAGCGGAGTCGCTGTGCGGACTATTTCTCCGAGAGTTTGAGCGCGCGGCCGAAGCCACCGACGGGGAAAAGGTCACCAGGTTCTTCAAGCTGTTTCCATTAATTGGCAGGACGGATGTTGGACTTGAAGTGTACGGGCGCTATGTATGTCAGGGTGTTGCAGCAAGAGCCAGGGATGCGCTTGCGGCAAAGAGACAGGCTGTAGCAGATGGGGCCGGCGGGTTGGGTGACTTTTTCTATGCGAATGCGGTTACGAGGCTGTTTGAGCATATTGCGAATATAGTTGAGCAGCATGGGAAGTTGGTTGAGAGGCATTACGGTCAGGGGAGGATGGGGAAGGTTATTGAAAGGCTGCAGGTCGAGGCAGATACCCAGGGGGGAATAATCATTGATACGTTTACGGATGAGAGGAATATTAATAGGAAGGTATGGTACCTCTTGTAATGGACAAGATCGGGCTACCTGTGAGGTGGATGCTAATAAGTATAGCTCACGGATATCAAATCGTACGCATTCTCATTTCTAGTTCAGTCATACATGCCGTCGACCAGAGGGCCTATGGGTGGTCCTCCTCGTTCCGGCTCACCAGCTCCCGGTGGTACAACGCACAGAAACAGTGAGGATGAGGGTGTTGACGTCAAGGAAGTGGATATGCTGCTAAGTGAGATTGGGGTGATGCTCGGCCGATGGTCACTATATTGTCGTTTTATCGCACGGAAATGCTTGGTGGGAGCTAGTCTTTTCTTTTGGACCTAAATTTTCTAACTAGATACACAGCCCCCCGAACCTAAAGGCCTAGCAGAAACTGATATCCTCCCACCCCTTGCAATCCCCCCTGTAATAACAAACTCTGCGTTATACCGGAAGGTTCAAGACCGATTGATAGTTCCCTTCAACACCATGACGACCTTCTTCTGCCGCCGCTCCGTCGAAAAGGCCTTCCAGCTTGACGAATCTTCATCCGACCTCTCGTTATCGCTCACCTCCCCTGCATCCTCCACCAACCCACCATACATCACCTCCGCCGTCGACGACGTAATGTACATAGTCAACAACCTCCTTCAACGCGCCCTGCATACCTCCCAACGCGCCCTCGTCAACAACGCAATTTCCACTATTGGCCGAGTCCTGGGCTCAGACTTTGTCGGCATGATCCAGCGCAAAATGCAGGTGGAAAGCTATCCTAAATCCCCCTCCGGCATCCCAGGGGCTCCAGTCCCAGACGACAAAATCCTCGGCTTCCTAGTCCTCCTCAACAACCTAGACGTAGCATCAGATTACACCCACCGCCTTATCGGTACCTTTGCCAACGCCTCACTGAGCGTCCCCGGAGCAGAGAGCAACCCGGGAATGGAGGCCAACAGCGACAATGCAGTACCATTAGAAGAACTCTTCCCCTTCCAAACCGACGCAGCAATCGTCCGTGACGCCCTGAGAGGAATGGAAACCTCTTTCGAAGGAAAGGCTGGGGAACTAATCAACGATGGAATAATGGTCTTCTTCAATCAAGTCGTCAAACTGAAACTACGGCCACTCCTGGCGGAAGCGTTCCGTGATGTCGAGTACCTCATCTTACCAGGAGACGATGAAAACGTATACACCCACACAGACCCAGATGGCGAGGACGAGCAAGAGGGAATAAGCCCCGAATCCAGAGATGAACTCGTAAAACTCCGCTTTCAAGCAGGCTGGGATGCGCTCATGACACCTTACAAACGAATCCTGACCGAGAAGGTATTCAACAAATTGCTTAATACTACGGCCAGCTACTTTTCCAAACTCTTGGAGAAGCGCATTTGGGGATATGCTGGGAGGATCAGTGAATTGGGAGCTATTAGATTGGAGAGGGACGTTGCGGGTGTCGTGGGTGTCGTAGTTAGGGGCGGGTTATATGGAGTTCGGGACGCGTTTGCTAGGTGTTCGCAGATCTGTCTTGTGGTTAATATGGAGGAGGATGAGGTTGGGGATTTGCTCACTGAGGGGGCAGGTAGCGATGGTGGGGAGGATGGGGATGGGGTTGAGTGGGTGTTGGAGGTTGAGGAGAGAAGGAGAGCTAGGGGGATGGTTGTCGGAAAGCGGTAGGCGGTGAGGGGGGGCAAGAGATTTAGTTCTGTGTTTGGTAGCAAAAAATATCTAATTTTACGATAGCAACTTGGGCGCTTCAAAATCACTCGGACGTTCCAAATCCCACTCGCACGCCAGTCCCGAGTCCAAGCGAATCCTAAACATTATAGTAGCTTCATTCTTATCCCCACTCCCAAACCTCGAAGAATTCCCTCCAACCAAGCCCGCGTGAACTTTCTTTTCCCCTTCCTAATTGCTCACTTCCATCCAAACGCTCGCGAATCACTCTTCATCACTCGGATGCTATTATGCTAAACCCCTTTCTTGCAGGGTGGCATTTCTCTGTCCAGTACGACAAAGGGTAAATCCTCCAATGCATGCGGCGACCTGCAGCGTCAAATTGGAGAGTCAGCGCGCTACTCGCCCTCTACCATCACGAGTATGATAGATAACTCTTGTTTGTTTGTTTTGGTATGATACGATACAGTATCGGTAGGTCATGAATTATTGATGATCGGCATACTCGTACTTGTATCATACATCGTAACACAACAGGCATTAACCCGGGCTCATTACCGTGATCCCAATCGTACAGGAGAAGAAAAGGACTACAAGTCATTTTGTTCTCTTTTTTATATTAGAAAAATAAAAAAATAAAAGAAAAAAGTAAAGGAAGAAAAACATCTCCGGAGAAGTCCAACGCCGCCTACCCAAGCCTCTGCAACAACCGACTCTTTCTCCTCTCCACCAAAAACTCCGTAACCTCGTCCAGTCCGGGCACCACCCACCCGTCAGGTATTGGCGCCCAACCCTCGGGTACCCCCTCCCCCCCCGTTTTCTCCACATTCCTAAAACTCTCCACCTCCTTCGCCCTCTCGTACGCCAGCAAGACTCCATCATCCTCATCCCTATTGAAACCGTAATAGTCTGCGTCCACATTCCTCCTCATCTCCGCCCTCAGCCTGCGTTCCTCGTCCTTCCCATCCGCAGCCTTCTTTGAAGGTTTGAGTTCGTCAAAGAGTTCTTTAACCCCCGGCAGTTCCCGCGCGCGACCAAAGTACTTGTAACCGCGAGAGCCGGGCACCTCCCGGCCGTCCTCGTCGTAGGTTTTCGGGCCGAAGCGCATATAGTTTGGCCCGCCGAGGTTGCGGAGTTGCACCTCCCACATGTGCTTCTCTCGCATCAGTTTGTTGATCTCGTCATTTAGGTCGCGGATTTGGTAGTCTGAAAGGCTGGCTTTTGGTTTGTCAGAACGAACAGTGGAGCGGGAGCGGGGGAAAGGTACGGTCTTGGATTTTTGTGACTTTGCGGGAAATGTCTTTGACTACTTGGCCACGCCATTTCTCGCATGCTGGTATTGCGGTTACCTCTGTTATTACTTTTGGGCGGCTGGTTTATTCTTTCCATTAGCTATGCTGTTGTGGTTGAACAACGCGGGGGGGGGGGGATGGCTCACCGTGTTCGCCCAGCATCGATAATTCCTAGATCCGCCGCCTGCTGCTCGCGAAAGCGAAACAGCATTGATTGGGCTTTTTCACTATTTCGGGCCTGGGATGCATTAGTTAGTCTATTGCGATACTAGGATGGGGAGCGGGCAGTGTAGGGGGGTTGTTACCATGTTTGCTGAAGCTTCGGAGGTGACGGAGGTGTGTGTTGAACGGACAGGTTTTCGATGGGACGGATCATGGCGTTAGTGATTTACCTGGTAGTTGTATGGGTCTTGGCGCGGCGGCACCCGTGTAGCCGCAAAGCTTGGCGTAGGGGGAGGCGACATAATCCGGTGTTGGTTTTTACGGCTGTGACCGGAAGGGTTTTAGATGGATTGACGCAATTGAAAGGTTTTAGGGAATGTAAAGAGAAAGAGCAGTTTCTCAGTCATTGCAGATTTGGTATGGTCGCAAACTCTACTCAGTAGAGTGGGGGGAACAGAGTCGTTCCCACACAAAATATCACTCGTTAAAACTTAGTCATCAAAGTTTCGCGACACAGTATGATACCAATTTACGCGTTCCAAAACGCGTTACACCCCGCCAGCTGCCCACAAAACAGAAGAAAAAAAAAGGGAAAACTCCCCTGTGCGAAAATCCTCCCAAGTGCCCGCCGGAAAATTCACGAGTCTCTCCTTATTTCAATTGACCGCACTCATAAACATGGCAACAACACAGCAGCGAATTGTCCCTCGTTACGCCCGTACGCACCGCACAACCCTTTCCCACACTGCATACGGATGTGGTTATCCCAGACTGACGAGCTTCCGCAGACACGGCCGGACGAACGTCGTTGGCGTACTCCTGGGACGGTAAATACCTGATCACTGTCGGGTCCAATGAAGTCATCCGGAAGTTCACCGTAGCTTCGGAGGACGAGCCCGTCACTATTGAGGATGCGCTGGGGAGGAATGTGGCCGTTGCGGCCTCAGTACGATACCTGCAATCACTTTTGACCTCCCCCTGTTTTCCCATAGCTAACTGAGCGATTGATGAATTGGTAGGATGAGAACTTCATTACTTGTTCGGAGAGTGGAACCATCTCCCTCTTCTCTATGGTCACGGATACGCTCAAACAACTCCTCGTGCGATGCACACTCCCGTCGAGAGATATTGCGCTGAGTCCGGATGGTGACTGGGTCGCTGTTGCGAGTGACGAGACGGTTGTTAAGGTGGTTAACATCGAAGATAATCACAAGATTATGAGCCTGCGGTCTCAATCACAGTCCGTCAAGCACCTAGCGTTCCATCCGACTGGGAATTATCTCGCGGTCTCGTGTGTTGATGGGGTGATATATATCTACTCACTGACTACCGAGGAACCGGAGTTGGTGAAGAAGGTGGATGGGATTATCAAGGCGGTAGATGCGGAGTCGGAGGTCTGCTCGAAGGTTGCGTGGCATCCGGATGGGAGGGCATTCGCGGCTCAGACTCCTACTAGAGGTTAGTGGTCGGGTGAGGGCGTGGGACTAAGGCCGGGCTGTCCGGGCTGATACGGAATAGATATTATCGTTGTCGACCGAACAAAATGGGAGACTCACAAGGCTTTTGCCAGTGGCCATGTCGGGGATATAACAGACTTTGCCTGGTGTCCTAACGGTGCATTCCTCGCGAGTGCTGGGACCGATGGGAAGCTTGTTATCTGGGAAACGGAAGAACAGACCATAATCGCAAAGTACGATTACCGACACATCGTCTCGCTTGCCTGGCACCCAAAGCATAACGCAATCTCCTTCACGACCAGCAGAGGAGAACTGTATACACTACCCAACGCCGTTCCAGAAGACTCTGCCTTCCGATTGAAACTCGCCACCCGTTTGGCGCCATTGCTAAATGATAGTGGCCCATCAACTATCTTGGAGAACAGGAGCAGGCCACCGCCGCATCGTCAACGGGCCGGCTCAGTAGACTCTTTAGATGATATACTCGGGGGTGGAGTGGACGACGGTCTCGACGACTTCATAATCGACGACGATGGAGCCGGCTACTTGGAGCCCAGCAAGAGCAGGAAGCGTGGCAGCGAGCACCTAGATCCAATCACTCACGGCCCCAAACGGCCAGCATACGGCATGGCGATGTGGTCTCCGGAGATCCACGAGCCTTTCCAGCCGGGGAGCACACCTTGGAAGGGAAAACGCAGATACCTCTGCCTAAACCTTATCGGCTTCGTCTGGACCGTAGACCAAGATACGCACCACACCGTCACCGTTGAGTTCTACGACCGGGACTCCTATCGCGACTTCCACCTCCCGGATCCATACTTGTACGACAAAGCTTGTTTAAATGAGATCGGCACACTCTTCTCTTGCCAGCCCAAAGACGAGAATCCCGCCATGATCTTCTACCGTCCGCACGAGACATGGGCTACCCGCGTCGACTGGCGCACATCCCTACCCAGGGGCGAGGAGATCGTGTCCATCGCGCTGAGCGAGTCGTATATCGTCGCATGCACCTCCAAGGGATACGTTAGGGTCTTCACACTCTTTGGTGTGCCGTTCAGGGTTTACAGGCAGAAGCACATGCCGTTCGTCGCATGCGCTAGCTGGAGGGATTACATCTTTGTCATGGGAAACGGAGCCGTCGGGGCGGATGGGAAGACGCAGTTGACGTACTCGATCGAGAATGTCAAGAGGGATGAGACACTGCAGTGCTCGGATGTCGTGGCCCTGTCGCCGGACGGGGAGGCGAAAAATGCTTTTTTCTCCAGCAATGGGGTGTGTAGAGTCTTCCCCCTCTCGAGCATTGCGGATTACGAGTGACTCACTGTGATAAAAATAGGATCCGGTGATATACGATTCCGAGGGCGTATTGCTGGTGTTGGTTCACTGGAGGCAGCCGGGGCAAGCCAAGTGGGTACCGTTATTGGATACAAAGACACTGGACCGTTTGGCGGGAGGCAGAAAGGAAGAAACCTATTGGCCCGTCGCCATCGCGCAGAATAAATTCCATTGCATCATTCTCAAGGTAAGAATACAATCAAACCTAACACAAAGAGGAAGAAAAGTAAAGAAAAGAAAGGGGAGGAAATGGAAAGAAGAAAACTCTGACATCAACACCAGGGCGGTGAGAAACACCCCTACTTCCCACGCCCCCTCCTCAGCGAATTCGACTTCAAAGTCCCCCTCTCGACAAACTCCACTACCGACTCCACCACCCCCATCCCAAAAACCGACGTCCTGGAAGAAACCTACGTCCGCGAGTCCGTCCTGCTAGCGCTGCAGGAGGACCTTGCAGCGCACACAGCCACCGATGCGCAGGACAGGATGGAGATGTCAAAGCGTGTGAACGCGATCGACAAGGCGCTGCTGCAACTCTTGGGACTGGAGTGCCAGAATGAAGATTACGGGCCCAAGGCGCTGGAGATTTGCGGGCTGTTTAGGCAGAGGCGGACGCTGGAGCTTGCTATAAAAGTTGCTGTCAGGTTTAATCAGGTGGTCTTGGCGGAGAAGATTGGGGAGTTGAGGGATCGGATGGAGATTGAGGAGTAGATAGGTAGGTATCATAGGTAGTTTCTATTATTATTATTGTAATTATCATGTGCGTGGCGGGTAAGTAGTTTTTAATGGGTGGGGAAGGGTTATTGCGGTTGGCTATGGGGATTTCATGATGTCTGATAGGGCTTTTGCGGCTACCCTTCGGCGTTCTTGTTTAGAGACTTCTTCGCCCATGTCTAGTTTGTGTGCTGTTAGTATTTCCTAAGCTTAGTAGTAATGATTTATTCGGTAGGACCGTTTAGATCCGGCTAGGGGTACCCGAGTAAGGAAGGAAAATAAAAAAACATACCTTTGAGAGCACTCATCTTCATCATCATAGTCTCCAATTTTTCCACCTGCGCCTCTTCGTCCTCATCGTCATCCGTGATCCCACGGACGCTACTATCCCCTGCACTCTCCTCGCCCCCAAATATGGCCCTATGCAGCCCGAACATCTCTCTCTCCATCTCATCCCCAATAAACTTGAGCGGGTCCGCCTCCTCCCCACCATCACCCGCACCCGTAAACGATCCAAATGACCCACCATCATCATCACCATCCTCACCACCCCCATACCCATCCCCGTCCCCAATCTCATCATCCGCAGCCCAATCATTAGCCTCCAATGCCTCCCTAACTCTCTCCATGCCAGCGCTCTCCCCAAACTCATTCCTAGCCTTGACCTCAAAGTCCACAAACTCGAACCCGCACTCCCTACACATCTCCTCCCAAACCTCCACCTCCAGCTCCAATCTCGGTTGCAGACTCTGCGGCATGCCAACCGCAAGACACACGCCGTCCCAAGCGTACCCGCACCCCTTCACGATCCCCTGGACGGCGCGTAGGACCTCGCGGATGCGTGCGAGGTCCCCCTCCGACGAGGGCTTGCGGAAGGTTAGTATGAATGCGCCGAGGGCATGCAGCACCTCACGCGCCTCCGCGGAGAGGTAGGTGGTTGACCAGGTGTTTGGGGAGGTGCCCGGGATCTCGTCAACCCAGATTGGCACGGTGGTCTTGTAGTATGATGTTGAGAGGGGGAGGGCATGGCTCATGCCTGCTGGGGAGGTGGAAGTCGTGGGAGGGAGGGAGCCGGTTAGAGCTAGGTTTCTATATTAGTATCCAGAGCATATAGAGAGGGATTGATTGGTAACGGAGGGGTAACCTTTTAGAAAGGCCAGTTTCCCAGAAGAGCGCTGTCCAACGAGGAGGATTCGGCGGGAGTTGGTGATTTCCAAAGCCGACATTGTTGCTTTGTTATTTGCTTTTGTCGTCGTCGATTGGTGTTTGCTATGCTACGATATAATGTAGTATCATAAGAGGAAATAAGAGAAATAATTGTGGGGTGGAATGGCCCAGAGGTTGTGGCGGGGAGAAGAACCCTCCCGTAGGTAACCTTAGCACTGGTTTCATTACCGCCAAGACTTTATTTCCTCTTTTCCCACATTGCTTCCACACAAACCACCATAACTTTTTTTTTCCCTTCTTCACCCCCAAACCATACGATACATATCAAGCTTACCCCCCCCCCCTCCACCAATACAAAGTTCGCAGCAATGCCGGACAAAAAGGTCATTACTAAATCGTCCACCGGGGAAAAGTCAGCTGAGCCGATTTCGAATTCACCATATCAGTTGGATAATGCACAGGTTTGTCCTCTGCCTATCCATCTTGAATAATGCCGGTGGGGAAGAAATAATAACAATAATAATGATAAAATGACAGGTCCTAAAAGCTTGCAAAGCTCTCCTAAAATACGTCAAGGAGAAGCAGGCCGAATCCGCAAAATCCAAGAAAGCCAACCTCCTCGAGGACCCGGAGAATCCCACGCCGGAGACAATATGGCTGAATCTGACCATGAAGAAGTTGGTAACAGATACCAAACGGCTCAAGCCCGCTCGGATGTAACCTTCCCCTCTTCCCTCCTCCTCTGCATATCCATACTGAACAAAGTAATCAGCATCCTCCCGCATCCTCTCCGCGACCCCCAAACAACCACCATCTGCCTAATAGTCAAGGACCCGCAACGCACCTACAAAGACCTAATTGCTGCCTCGCCCACCCTCTCCGCTGTCATAAAAAAAGTAATTGGTGTTTCCAAGCTCCGCGCGAAATTCAAATCCTTCGAGTCCCGCCGTCTACTAGCAGACTCATACGACCTATTCCTGGCCGACGACCGTGTAGTCTGCATGCTCCCGGCCATCGTAGGAAAGTCCTTCTACAGCCGCAGCACAAAGGTGCCAATCCCACTATCCGTCTCGCCAGTGGAGCGCTTGCAGCGCGAGGTGGATAATTGTCTGAAGGCTACCTACCTACATTTGAACGCGGCAGCGAGTTCGAGTCTTAGGGTGGGGCTGAGCACTTTCACACCTGAGATGGTCGGGGAGAATGTCAGCGCGGTTGTGGAGAGGGTAGTTGAGGGCGGGAAGGGGGTAAGAAAGGTGGGTGTGCCTGGAGGATGGAGGGGTCTTCGGAGTCTGCATTTGAAGAGTCCCGAGAGTGCCGCCTTGCCGCTGTGGCTCGCGCAGGAATTGTGCGAGGGTAGTGACGTGCTGAGGGATGGGGAGAGGGAGGAGCTGGCTGCTAAAGAGGTGATCAGGAAGGCAAAATCCAAGGAGAAGAGGAAAAAGAAGAAGATGGAGAAGAGGCAAGCGAGGATCTCGGGGGAACAAGAGTAGTATCCGGGATGTCGAGGGATGCGAACTCGAATGAAAAAAAAAAGGGGAAAAAAGTAATGTGTATTTTTTTTCGTCCATCCGTGTATCTATCGGCAGGTTATCATAGTTCGGTCCAGGTTCCGGGAGCGGGAGCAGGGGTCTCCTGCCGGTGTGGGTTATGGCCCAGGCAGCCGTGCGGCAGTCCGGAATTAATAAGACTCTTAAAATTTTTGGCCATCCATCCGTTCCATCAAACACTTTCACAGTCCACCATCGCACCAACATTCAATTTCATACACCGTTATTATGCACTCTCTACTATTTAACCTGCCCATAATCTGTAGCTTAGCGTCTCCCCTTCCTTTCCCTTCACTTCCTTTCTCTTCAAAACATCACTAAAATTGCATTTTCGGCGAGTGATATTTCATGATTGCCTCGCGAGGATAATCGAGTGGCTTTTGCCCAATTGAAATGGTTTCTTGGGCGCGCTATAGGGCGCAGGGACTCTACAGAAGAAAAAAAACAGAATTTGATATCGTCCTTCGAAACATCAACCAACTCTGCCAAACTGCATAACCGGCAAGTCGGTATAGGAGGGTCTGTGCAGAAGGAACCTACAAAGGTTGAAAGCCAAGTATGACATGACATGATATTATCACTCCCAACAAACAAGAGGGTCAAAATATTCCACCCACCCAAAAAAAAACTAAAAAAACTCAGAACCCCACACCCTGCACCCACAGCCCCATCTTCTCCCCATCGACCCTCCCGCCGAGGTACTTCTTGAACAAACCCGTCAGCAACTCCTCGCTCAGCTCCATATGCCTCCCAGGTGCCGTCACGAACTCCAACCGTTTCCGATCCCCCAACTTCTTCATGCCGATCCAATCCTGCTTGTACAATTCCCTATCCTCCACGAGCGTCCTCTCCCCGGTGGTCTTATTGAACTCGGCGAACCAGGCACTCTCCTTGGGAACAATGGTGGTATCGTCCTCGAACATGAGCATGACGAACCTCTCCAAGCTACCCAGATTCTCCGCGTAAGTCTTGTTGCGCTCGCCGGGACGCTCGTTATTAATGTCGGCGAGAAAGGCGGAATGCTCAATGTACGCATCGAGATCCTCGGGATCCCGGAAGTACTGTGCGGGGACTATGCGGTTCTGCACCCAAGGGGTCCACTTGCTGGAGCGGAGGGCGGATGACGCGGTCCGACAGACAAAGTCGGTTGGCTTGCATTCCGCCAGGAAGTCTGCGATGCCGTTGTGCGGGCTGCCGAAGGTTATAAGCGTTTTTACGGGCGGGTTGTTGCAGCGTTGGACGTAGCCACGGAGGAATTGGCCGCCTTGGGAGAAGCCGACGGCGTTGAAGCCCGACGTGAGTTCAGGGATTGCGGAGAGCTGCGAGCAGACGGTGGCGATTTGCTCGTCGACCCGGCCGAAGAAGGTTGCTGAGCGGTCCCCATCCGAATCCGGGTCCAGGTAGATTGAGTGGACAAAGGTGCCTGGATGGACCTGCGGGGGTTGTCAGTAACGCCATGAAAAGGAGAAGGGGAGCGGGTGTTACTTTTTGTGCTAGATTTGCAACACCCTGAATGCCCTCCGAGTCGTATGCATCACCTACATTTAAGGGGGCAGAAAAAGATTCAGCATTCACCCGTCAATCACCCACACCGCTTGCAGGGGTGACAATCACGTCGGGAGAACCCACCAAGACCATGCCAGATGACCAAAGGTAGCGGACGTCCCGTCGGCGTGGCAATTCCCACGCCGGCAGACACGAGCAAAGAGATAGTGGTAAGGAAAATCATATCGCACTCTCTTCTCCCGGTCCGAGCGAATTGTGTAGAGATGGGGAGCAGGAGGGGGAGGTGAAGCTTTCAAGTGCACAATACTCGTATCATATCTCGTGCAGTGCGGGTTGACGCGTAATCGGTTCGAGCCCTCCCTAAGCCGTGACCCAAGCCACAATATGATTGGACAACACACACTCTCTCCCTGAGCAAGCGGTTGTCTCGTGGGTTGGCTGAGCCGCTGAGGCCAGCGTTTCAAAAGTGAACCGTTGCGCTCGGATTATTGTTTTTCCAGCGAATCACGGGTACGGTATGGTAATGTATTGATCAAGGAAGGAGGGGAGGTTCCGGTCTCTGATAGCGAGTTGGGGTAACGTGGTTGGCAATCTTGATGCGATGAGGCAATCTGGGGGGGCGGTACCGGTTCACCCATGGAGGACCCTTTTATCTGTGAGAATGAGAATGAGAATGAGAATGAGAATGAGGACGGGAACACTCTCAAGTCAGGAGCACAAGTACAGTACTTGTACGGTACTCGTAGCGGTGAACCGCCATGAAGAATGCTCACACACAAACGCACAACCTGACATTGGCTCCTTAAACAAGGGCAGAGCATGATAGCCTTGCAGTGTGGTTCTGACGTTCCTGATCTCCCCCGCAGCTTCTTCCACCCACCCCGCCAGCCAGCCAGCCAACTGCAGGCCGAAACCTTCCCGCCCAATCGTGTTATTATACTACCACCGCCACCACCGCAGCACTCGAGAAGCCAACCCACACACCGACACAACCACCCACAAGTTATTTTAAAATATCATACGTAGAATACCGATACCGGTACACAGATCCTGTCCCGCGCTATCCCGGGAAAAACCCTCGAGTCTCAGGATATATCATGGCAATTTTTTCGTTGCCAAAAGCACATTTGAACCGGTGCTGACCAGATTACCCTGGGCAAACTTGGACCAAACCGTGGGTTAGTTTCCCTTGCTGATTTCATCTCAACCCCGATTGGCTCGCCACTCACGTGCTCGCGATATGGTACGACCTTTACCTTTTCTCAGCCGACCCTTCCCCCTTCTACAAGTATCCTCCCAAACCCACTCCACCTTGCCGTATCATACCACTGAATCCACGACCCGCAGCCCTAGCTACCTACTGTAGCAATACCCGCATTTACTATATGATATTATGCATCATACCTCTATATTGCTGTGAATACAGAACATTAGCCCCAGTCTCATCCGGCCTGGACAGGCACTTCTCGACAGCTTCTTCTCCTTCACCGTCCTTCCTTCATTACCTCCCTCCTTTCTCTCCTTTATCTCCACAGAACCACTCCTCTATCCACAGACCAGTCAACAGAGCGACGAACGACCCAAGATGTCGGCCCGAACACTGGCGTCCCGCCACTTATTGGCCCCTCTCTCCCGCCTTTCGCGCCCATACTCCTCCTCTTCCTCTACCAAGAACAGCCTCCCGCCCACCAAGCGCCTCCTCCAAACCGCCACATCCCCCAACCCCAGCATCCCCTTCCCGCCCGACCTACCGACCACCACCATGGCCCCTGCCCCCGCAACTGCGCGCACGAAAAAGCCCCTCCGCCCCCGTAAATCCGCAATAACCCTCACCCCCTCCGCCATCCAGCACCTCCGTGCCCTCCTCGCTCAGCCATCACCCCAACTAATCCGCATTGGGGTCAAGAATCGCGGCTGCTCGGGCCTCGCCTACCACCTCGAGTATGTCGACCGGCCCGGCAAGTTTGACGAGGAGGTGGTGCAGGACGGGGTTAAAGTGCTCATCGATTCCAAAGCGCTCTTCAGCATTATTGGCAGCGAGATGGATTGGATTGAGGATAGGATTAGCGCAAAGTTTGTGTTTCGAAATCCGAATATTAGTGAGTTTTTGCCCTTTCCCCCCCCCTTGCTTTTGGAGGGCTGATGGGTTATTCTAGAGGAACAGTGTGGCTGTGGGGAGAGCTTTTCGGTTGGTTAGGTCGGAATAAACGAACATGTTGGAAGCTGGGTTTCCCGCCCGATGGATAGACGGTCCGATTGCCGCCGGAAGTGGACTTCTAGTTAGATTCCCTTGCTTCATTTTTTACAAGTACATTCTTAATTCGCCGGTTTTGTGCGATAAAAGCGGGCACTCCCCTGCTCCACCTTTCCCCCGGATGGCTGTTTGTCTCTTTCTCTCGGCCCATTATTCACTTCAACGGGTTCTTTCTTTTGGGCTGTAGATTGGAGTTTTTTTCCTTTTTTTTTTTTTTTGTTGCTCTGATATTTCCCCCCCCCTTTTTTCTTTCCACTGCCAATTTGGCATCTAGGGCGGTTCTTATAGAAAAGGCTACCATTTGTAGTTTCGTCGTTGTTTTGTACTGTACCGTGCTTGTATATATCGTGCTGTTACTACATTTAGTTCTCTCACTTCGGTGAAGAAGGGGGGGGGAAGAAGAAAAAGAAAAAGAAAAAATAGCACTCGATAGCATATGGATACTACACACGTGACATCGCCATGCGAGCAAATCACTGCGCATCATGACACTAGATACTTGGAGAAGCGTTTAGGTGAACTCCAGACTGTAGCAGATGGTCAATCAATCACTGATATTATACACCCCACTGAGAATTGAAATCCACCATTACTTTCCACACACCACCTCTACCCCACCACTTCTGCTACCCCCGCCGCAGCTTCCCACCCCCATCAAAGGATCAGGCCCCCCTCCCACGGCTCTGTTGGCCCCTCGCACGGTTAACCGTAGCCCTTCCTCTCGCCAACCCAACACCCCTACCGCGCACAGCTCTAGACCTAAACATCGGAGCATTCCTATCACACCCCATTAGCCCCCCCTTCGCCCCTCGCCTTTATTTAACCCGGCAAAGCGGAAGACATACCTCAACATATCCGGCACGATAAAAAACCTAACGTGCGAGCCACGGATGTACACCTGGTCGAGATGGGATACGCGCCCATCACGAGCTGTAACGGTAATGTCGCGGAGTTGGACGTTCATATTGTCCTCGGCTGTGTTTATCACAGACACGTTGATGGGTTAGTTGGGAGGGTTGGGGGGAAGAGGGTAGGAGGGGGAGGGCAAGTGCCTTCGAAAAGTCTGCCGCGAAATATTTGGCCAGAAGTCAGTTCTAGAGTGCAGACGTGGCCCTGGGTTCGGTTGGTTAGTTGATATTTGGATTGGGGGTGGATGGAGATGGGCAAGGGAAGGGTACCTGGGCCTCGTTGAGGAGCTTTATTGGGATTCCGATACTACCCATTGTCTACGCCTGTTTTTGTTCAAGTATGAGGAGGCGAAGGTGGTGAGTGGGTGAGAATGGTAATGCTAGTGAGGATTTGTTGTATGTAGGTAGGTAGGGTACCTCACTCGAGCAGTGATTGATGATATGATATGAAGCGGTGGCTGATGAGTGAATGAATGGATGGACAGGGCAGGAGTGAGGCTCTTGGAAAAGACTCTGTTGGGTTAGGTTGGGGTTGGGTCGGTTGGACAGGGCAGGGGTTGACTCGACTGGATTAGGGTGGGTCTGGACCCCACCAACTACCGTATGATACCAGTATCATACTCAGTACCATACCATACTAGCAGTCTCCCCCTCGATACTCGAGGCATATACATGGCTGGGTTGAGTTCTATAAAAATATAGATATCAATAAGATATTATAGTAAAAATGTTTAAGGTAATTAATAGTACAAATAAAAACATAGTAACAAATAAAATGAACGTAAAGTTAGAAAACAGAAATGCAAAAGAGTTATACTATATAAAATAAAAATGAAAGAAGCACCTTAGAATATACTATATTATTCAAGTTTGTATATTTGAAAGTACTCTTTAAAGACAATAGAAGGTGTTCCTTTAGTGATGTAACCCCTAATAAGGCTACACCATGCTGCTTCCAAGTTGTACAAACCTGTAACAGACAGGGTCAGAGGGTCGGGTAGCCCAAGGCACACCACGATCAGGATAGGCAGGAATCTGGAGACGAGGTCTAGGTGCGGGGGTACAACCGAAGCGAGTTGTACGAGGTTCGGGGTTCAGGGGTTCAGGGTCAGGGTTCAGGGGTTCAAGAGGATGCCAGAAAGTAGAGAGTGTAATTCCTAGGTACAGGTGTCCGAATTCAATCTAACTTTT